CATCCATCCATCCATCCATCCATCCATTCATCATCCATCCATCCATCCATCCATCCATCCATCCATCCATCCATCCATTCCATTGTGAGCTTTGGTTTCAGTCACTGGACTTTAGTGATGGCTTCTCCAGTCAGCTTCATTGCAGCAGTGATCAGAATGTAAACAGTATAGGAGAAAAAGAAACCAGTTTAAAAATAATGTTGCAAAAAAAACGGCACCGATAGGGAAAGTCTCAAAGCAATATGGTGCAAATGCAGAACATTCAGTTATGTTCTATTTATAAAAGCATTATAAAAGTTTTCAGCCAAGTTAGTGATGCAGAGTCCAATTTAGAGTTTCCTCATCAGTTCATCAGTGTGACGGCGGTGGGGAAGAAGCTGCTGCAGAACCTGCTGGTCCTGCATTGAATGCTGGGAAGCCTCTTCCCAGAGGGCAGCAGGGAGAACAGTCCATGGTGGGGGGGTGAGGGGTCATTGATGATGTCACGGGACACGCAGCGCTGGGATGAAATGTCTTTAATGGAGGGAAGAGGAGCCCCCATGATCCTCTCTGCTGTTCTCACCTTCTTCCAGTCTGAGGCGCTGCAGCCTCCACACCACACAGTGAGACAGCTGCTCAGAACGCTCTCTATGGGGGGGAGGATGGGGGGGTTCAGAACGCTCTCTATGGTGCTTCTGGAGAAGGGGGGGGAGGATGGGTTCCAGTTTGCCCATCAGATGCTGTGGGATGATGGCGCTGAAAGCTGAACTGAAGTCCAGGAACAGCATCCATCGTGGGTGTTCTTCTCCTCCAGGTGTGCCAGGCTCAGGTGGAGAGCAGCAGAGATGGCGTCCTCAGTGGAGCGGTTCCGTCGGTAGGCGAACTGGAACGGGTGGAATGTTGGCGGCAGACTGGAGACGATGTGTTCTTTAACCAGCCTTTGGAAGCACTTCATCATGATGGGAGTCAGAGCGACAGGCCGCTAATCATTGAGGGAGGCGACCTGAGGCTTCTTTGGGAATAATGGAGGCAGACTGGAACCATGCTGGCACTATGGATTGGTCCAGGGTTGTAGTAGAGGACCTTTCCACATCCTCCTGGTGCTGCTGGCATCATATAGAGATCCTGGATCTTCTGGCTGTGTTTCTGCTTCGCTGATCTAATAACACGGTTCCAGTTGGCTCTCGCTGTCCTCTGAGCCTCTCTGTCACCAGACTTGTAAGCTGAGTTTGGTGCTTTTAGTGATTTCTGAACCTCTCCATTTATCCAGGGTTGTTGATTGGCCCAGGTGGTGAATTAGGGAGTGGGTCAGTAATCGTATATCTATATAGGTATATATCTATACCTGGATGAGCCTCAGCTCTTCACTCTGACCTGGTATTTGGGACAGAGCGTCCTTCCTGCCCAGAGTCTGTTTTCATGTCTATTTCACTAGTTTAGTTCATTCCGTCCTCTCTGTGATTTGGTCACCACGTCTTTCCGCCATGATTGCTGTTCTACATCATAAGTTAGTTCGGTCTTTGATCTGTTTGATACGGTGCTTTAGCTTTAGGTGGTTAGATAGAAAATGTTCATTTCAATTGTTTGGTCCAACCAGCTGTCGCGTCCTCCCTTCCTCCTTTCCTCCTTTCCTCCCTTCCTCCTTTCCTCCCTTCAGCCCGTCCTCCCTTCCTCCCCTTTCCCCCCTCCTCCTTTCCTCCTCCCTTCCTCCTTTCCTCCTTTCCTCCCGTCCTCCTTTCCACCCGTCCTCCTTTCCTCCCGTCCTCCCTTCCTCCTTTCCTCCTTTCCTTCCTTCCTCCCCTCCTCCTCCCCTCCTCCCCTCCTCCTTTCCACCCGTCCTCCTTTCCTCCCTTCCTCCCGTCCTCCCTTCCTCCCCCGCTGCAGCTGATGTCCTTTTCCACGCCAGTTGAATGATCCTCATTTTAAAGATGCTCTCTGAGTTGGACCCTGGTGATGATAATGGCTGAAGCAGGCAGATTAAGCCGTTTCCATAGAGATCAGGCTTCCTGGCTGTATTTAGATGTTTGCCGTTGTTCTGCAGGGTGGACTCCATCATGCTGGTGGAGGAGGGCTTCCAGATGGTCAGCGTGGACGCCAGCGACAAGATGCTGAAGTACGCTCTGAAGACTCGCTGGGACCGCAGGAAGGAGGCGGCGTTCGATCAGTGGGGTAGGAACCCAGACGTTTCTGCTACTGACGGCCATCTTTGCACAGGTTCTCATGTTCTCCTGCTTGACCCGCAGTGATCGAAGAAGCCAACTGGCTGACGTTACCTGAAGACATCCAGAAACCTGGAGACGGCTACGACGCAGTCATCTGCCTCGGGAACTCCTTCGCCCACCTGCCAGACTTTAAAGGTTTGGACAGAACATCTCCGTCAGGTTCTGGTTCAGTCCTGGTGGATCAGGCCGGTTTCCTCAAGATCTGTCTGACCTTCGACCTTTTGGTCATGAGTGGGCGTCCGTTTAACTACCTGAGGTTCTCTGAGTTTTTGATCACTTTCTGAGTGCAGGCAGATGATCAGACTGAACCAGACGACGATGCTGCTGCTCTGAGCAAATTTATTACCAGTTTTCTGACTGTTTTTATGATTCTAGGTCTGGATCTAATGTGTCATGAATTGGAGGCCGAGCAGCAAACAGTGGCTGCTGAAGCCCGTCTGACGCTGTGATGTTTGGTTCCTCCTAGGGGACCAGAGTGATCAGAAGCTGGCTCTCCACAACATTGCCAGTATGGTACGACCCGGTGGGGTACTCATCATCGACCACCGTAACTACGACTACATCCTGGACACTGGCCGCGCGCCGCAGGGCAAAAATATTTACTACAAGGTACTAAACCCTGCAGGAATTCTGCATTTTTGATGCCTGGAGGCTGTGGACAGGAAATCCAGACCATCAGAGGATTTATCTGAACAAAAGGGATCCTCATTAAATCCTTCAACTGAAAATACACCATAAAACTGCAGAGGAGAGGAAATTCTCCAGCATTTGATTGGTTCATTCTTGCGTGGTTCAAGAATGGAGCAAAGCTAATTTAGTTCACCTGTTGGCATGCTAATGTTAGCTTTAGCTTTCTGAGATAAGTTGCATTGACCTCACCTGTTGGCGTGCTAATGTTAGCTTTAGCTTTCTGAGATCAGTTGCATTGACCTCACCTGTTGGCGTGCTAATGTTAGCTTTAGCTTGCTGAGATCAGTTGCATTAACCTCACCTGTTGGCGTGCTAATGTTAGCTTTAGCTTGTTGAGATCAGTTGCATTAACCTCACCTGTTGGCGTGCTAATGTTAGCTTTAGCTTGTCGAGATCAGTTGCATTGACCTCCCTGTTGGCGTGCTAATGTTAGCTTTAGCTTGTTGAGATCAGTTGCATTAACCTCACCTGTTGGCGTGCTAATGTTAGCTTTAGCTTGTTGAGATCAGTTGCATTAACCTCACCTGTTGGCATGCTAATGTTAGCTTTAGCTTGCTGAGATCAGTTGCATTGACCTCACCTGTTGGCGTGCTAATGTTAGCTTTAGCTTGTTGAGATCAGTTGCATTGACCTCACCTGTTGGTGTGCTAATGTTAGCTTTAGCTTGTTGAGATCAGTTGCATTAAGCTCACCTGTTGGCGTGCTAATGTTAGCATTAGCTTGCTGAGATACGTTGCATTAACCTCACCTGTTGGCGTACTAATGTTAGCTTTAGCTTGTTGAGATCAGTTGCATTGACCTCACCTGTTGGCGTGCTAATGTTAGCTTTAGCTTGTTGAGATCAGTTGCATTGACCTCACCTGTTGGCGTGCTAATGTTAGCTTTAGCTTGTTGAAATCAGTTGCATTAACCTCACCTGTTGGCGTGCTAATGTTAGCTTTAGCTTGCTGAGATCAGTTGCATTAACCTCACCTGTTGGCGTGCTAATGTTAGCTTTAGCTTGTTGAGATCAGTTGCACTGACCTCACCTGTTGGCATGCTAATGTTAGCTTTAGCTTGTTGAAATCAGTTGCATTAACCTCACCTGTTGGCGTGCTAATGTTAGCTTTAGCTTGCTGAGATCAGTTGCATTAACCTCACCTGTTGGCGTGCTAATGTTAGCTTTAGCTTGTTGAGATCAGTTGCACTGACCTCACCTGTTGGCGTGCTAATGTTAGCTTTAGCTTGTTGAGATCAGTTGCATTAACCTCACCTGTTGGCGTGCTAATGTTAGCATTAGCTTGCTGAGATACGTTGCATTAACCTCACCTGTTGGCGTGCTAATGTTAGCTTTAGCTTGTTGAGATCAGTTGCATTGACCTCACCTGTTGGCGTGCTAATGTTAGCTTTACCTTGTTGAGATCAGTTGCATTGACCTCACCTGTTGGCGTGCTAATGTTAGCTTTAGCTTGCTGAGATCAGTTGCATTAACCTCACCTGTTGGCGTGCTAATGTTAGCTTTAGCTTGTTGAGATCAGTTGCACTGACCTCACCTGTTGGCGTGCTAATGTTAGCTTTAGCTTGTTGAAATCAGTTGCATTAACCTCACCTGTTGGCGTGCTAATGTTAGCTTTAGCTTGCTGAGATCAGTTGCATTAACCTCACCTGTTGGCGTGCTAATGTTAGCTTTAGCTTGTTCAATTCAATTCAGTTTATTTATATAGCGCCAAATTCACAACACATGTCATCTCAAGGCACTTTACAGTTCAACCAGATCATACAGTCAAATTGATACAAAGTTTTCTATCTAAGGAAAACCAGTTGATTGCATTGACTCATTGACTCAAATACAATCCCCCACACTAAGCATGCTTGTAGCGACAGTGGAGAGGAAAAACTCCCTTTTAACAGGAAGAAACCTCCAGCAGAACCAGGCTCAGTGTGAGCGGCCATCTGCCGAGGCCGACTGGGGTTCAAGGAGACAGAAGCAGAGATACAAAAAGCAGCTGTAAAAGGCGGCCCCGTCCAGGAAACACACAGCCAGGCAGACGAGCTCCAAGGCAGCTCCCATGCCAGAGGACGAAGAAAGCACATCCACTCAGTCACGGTCAGAGAAACAGGACCACACTGGAAAACAGGCCGATCTCCAACATCTATAAACAAGGGTGTTGATAGAAGCAGCACAGCTGATGTTTCTTTCCAGGATGACGTCACAGCCAAACAGGAACAGACGAGGCAAAGCTACTCTGAGGAAAAGCAGAGAGAGCAGAAGGTTAGAGATTGAACTAACAGATTCTGCAGAATAGGAGAACAGAGAGAGAATGAAGCAGAATGATGAAATGGGGGTCCCTATGTCCTCCAAAAGTCTAAGCCTATAGCAGCATAACTATAGAGATAGCTCAGGATAACCTGAGCCACCCTAACTATAAGCTTTATCAAAAATGAAAGTTTTAAGCCTAGCCTTAAAAGTAGACAGGGTGTCTGCCTCACGGACTAAAACTGGTAGTTGGTTCCACAGGAGAGGAGCCTGATAACTAAAAGATCTGCCTCCCATTCTACTTTTAGAAATTCTAGGAACCACTAGTAAACCTGCAGATTGAGAGCGAAGTGCTCTGTTAGGAACATAAGGAACAATCAGATCTCTGATATCAGATGGAGCTTGGCCATTTAAGGCTTTATATGTGAGAAGGAGGATTTTAAATTCTATTCTTGATTTAACAGGAAGCCAATGAAGAGAAGCCAGGATAGGAGAGATATGATCTCTCTTTTTAATTTTCATTAGAACTCTGGCTGCAGCATTTTGGATCAGCTGAAGGCTTTTAACTACAGTTTGTGGACTTCCTGATAGTAAAGAATTACAATAGTCCAGCCTTGAAGTAACAAATGCATGGACTAGTTTCTCAGCATCACCCCTGGACAGGATATTTCTAATTTTTGCAATGTTCCTCAGATGAAAGAAGGAAATTCTAGAAACCTCTTTGATATGGGATTTAAATGACAGGTCCTGATCAAAAATAACACCAAGATTTTTTACTTTATTATCTGAAATCAGTTTAATCCCATCCAAATGAAGTGACTGGCTAATCAGTTTCTTTTTCAGAGACTCTGGTCCAAAGACTATAACTTCTGTTTTGTCTGCATTCAGAAGCAGAAAATTAAGAGTCATCCAGGTTTTTATGTCTTCAAGACATGCCTGTAATCTATGTAATGGGTTAGCTTCATCTGGATTTATAGACAGATATAGCTGGGTATCATCAGCATAACAGTGGAAATTAATCCCATGCTGTCTAATAATTCTACCAATTGGGAGCATGTATAAAGTAAAGAGAATTGGTCCTAGCACTGATCCCTGTGGTACTCCACAGGTAACCTTTGAGCGTGTTGAAGATCTATCATTAACATGAACAAACTGAATTCGATCAGATAGATAAGATTTAAACCAGTCTAGTGCTGTTCCTTTAATTCCAACAAAATATTCAAGTCTTTCTAAAAGAATATTATGGTCAACTGTATCAAATGCAGCACTAAGATCCAACAGGACGAGCACAGATACAAGTCCATTATCTGATTATGTTGAGATCAGTTGCATTGACCTCACCTGTTGGCGTGCTAATGTTAGCTTTAGCTTGTTGAGATCAGTTGCATTGACCTCACCTGTTGGCGTGCTAATGTTAGCTTTAGCTTGTTGAAATCAGTTGCATTAACCTCACCTGTTGGCGTGCTAATGTTAGCTTTAGCTTGCTGAGATCAGTTGCATTAACCTCACCTGTTGGCGTGCTAATGTTAGCTTTAGCTTGTTGAGATCAGTTGCACTGACCTCACCTGTTGGCGTGCTAATGTTAGCTTTAGCTTGTTGAAATCAGTTGTATTAACCTCACCTGTTGGCGTGCTAATGTTAGCTTTAGCTTGCTGAGATCAGTTGCATTAACCTCACCTGTTGGCATGCTAATGTTAGCTTTAGCTTGTTGAGATCAGTTGCACTGACCTCACCTGTTGGCGTGCTAATGTTAGCTTTAGCTTGTTGAGATCAGTTGCATTAACCTCACCTGTTGGCGTGCTAATGTTAGCATTAGCTTGCTGAGATACGTTGCATTAACCTCACCTGTTGGCGTGCTAATGTTAGCTTTAGCTTGTTGAGATCAGTTGCATTGACCTCACCTGTTGGCGTGCTAATGTTAGCTTTAGCTTGTTGAGATCAGTTGCATTGACCTCACCTGTTGGCGTGCTAATGTTAGCTTTAGCTTGCTGAGATCAGTTGCATTAACCTCACCTGTTGGCGTGCTAATGTTAGCTTTAGCTTATTGAGATCAGTTGCACTGACCTCACCTGTTGGCGTGCTAATGTTAGCTTTAGCTTGTTGAAATCAGTTCAGTTGCAAGAGGAGAGATGGGCTGGTGCACGAGGAGAGATGGGCTGGTGCACGCTCTCACACGCTTTCAATAGGCGTTCCTTCTCAGGAGCGGGTAAAGAGTTGTGCATGTGCGTTTTTTAGTAGTGAAGAGAGGACGCGTCTTTTAAAAATCTGCATAAAATCTCCACAATACTTCGAGTTAACAGAGCAAAATGATCTTATTGAAGTTTTATCAGATTTACTGAGGAATTTTCTTACCTTCCAGCAAGTTGAATCGTTTCCAGACTTTTAATTCACAAACTCCCTCAAATACATCTTGGCAGGAGCCAACAGTTGCATCAGCCTAGATGCAGAAATGTTTTAGACCAATGAGATGCAGCGATGTGTTTGACGTTACCATGTCAACCAGAGGCTGAAGCAAAACAAAGATGGCTGCTCTGGTTTTAGCTGGAAAAGCCTCTATATGTTTCTGATGGGATTTCTGTCTCAGTGAATGAAAAGCTGTTCCCCGGATGTTGTTCTGGCCCCTCCCTCTTTACCCAGCATGCATCAGAGCAGACTTGTCCCTTCTCCAGACTGACAGCTGTCC